TATATATTATATTTTTTTTCTTCTCCTTTCTATTTCCATCCAGGCCACTGGATTCTGTTAGGCACCATCCTACAGCGCGGAAATTGTCATCTCGTGCACTTTTGGCAGGCCTCCATCCTTTTCTCGTGTTCCTAGAGCACTCCTTGGCATCGCATCTCTATCTGATATGCTTGCTTAGATCGGCTCATGCGTTACTCAGCCCCTTCCCATCTATTGGCCCTCCTCCCTAAATTGATTGTCTAGAGCACTTAGTCAATTGACCACTTCTCCTATTGTCCCTATGGCAACTCTCCCCGCCGGCCTTCTTCTACTGACATAACCGGTCCTTCCCGAGCAAGTAAAGCAGCACGCGGTCAGCCTGCCGCAGGTACCTGGTCTCGCTTCCACCGTAAAACATAAATCCTGTGCCGCAATAGACAGTTTCTCTCTATAGTGGAAAATCCTATTTCAATGAAAGATAGTTTCTAGCTCTGGAAAATTGTGTGTCGACGACAAATAGTTTCTCTCTCTAGAAGAAATCCTATATCAACCGACAGACCGTTTCTTCCCGCCTCATCATGAATGGCATGAAAGCTACTTCTTCTTCTTTAAAAGTTAATTATAAACCTGAACCTATAATGTTTGTTAAGTTGCATCTAAATCTTCTTCTTGCATCACCAATCACAAACTACATAGCAACAATTTCCTCCAATGGTCTCAATCTATATTCATACACCGAGAAAAATTGAAAATTGCATCGGGCGTGATCATCTCACCGAGAAAAATCCTACACAAAAAGTCACTGATCCTAAACATCGGGCATGAAATATTGAAAATTGCATGGTCATGTCATGACATGTCAACTTCTTGAACACAAAAAAAGGAGAAAATTCCTTCTGTATGGATACCGCAAGAGAAACTTATTCAAATGTTAACAACACAACTGAGTTATTTGACAATGAAACTAGATTACATAAACCACGGTAGGGGAGTGAAATGTTACTCAATACTACAACACTCTCCAAATATTGGTTTCAACTAGATATGTATGAAACATTCACAAGGAGGTGCTCACAAGAGTGCTCTTTTTAAATAATTGTTGAGCGGAAGAGAATCATCAAGTTTCTACTAGGACTCAACAAAGAATTACATGAAGTTAGAGGAATGCCAAGGAACCAAACCATTTCCATCAATTCGTAAAGCATTTGTTGAAGTACAAAGGGAAAAGAGCATGAAGAAACTCATGATGACAAGTAATCCGACAATATCAAATGGTGAAAAGTAGGCTTTATACACCCACAAATCAACTTAGGACAACAAATATTAGAGGATTAGACCGTGGTGTGAACATTGCAAGAAGCTTGGTTGTCTAAAGGAGAAATGTTGTAAATTTTATAAAGCTTGCATATTGGAAGACCGATAAAGTTAAAGGTGATGGAAAAAATCAAGTAAAAACGATGTCAAAGGAAGACAAGTCTCATGTACATTATCCTTTCAGCAAGGAACAATATGAAGCTCTCCAAAAACTTTTGGGATAATATTAAGAACCTTTTATACGCCCACAAATCAACTCAAGACAACAAATATAAGAGGAACGGACCATGGTGTGAACAATACAAAAAAGCTTGGTAGTCTGAAGGAGAAGCATTGGAAATTTTAAGAAGCCTGCATAATGGAAGCCCAACAAAGTTAAAGTTGATGGGAAAAATCAAGTAAACACAACATCAAAGAAAGGCAAGTCTCATGTACATTATCCTTACATTATGCTTTCAGCAATGAACAATATGAAGCTCTCCAAAAACTTTTGGGATAATATTTAGAACCTGCTACTAGTCTTCTAGCACATAAAGATAGTCTTCCATCTGCTCTTGTTGCTTTCAACAGAAAGAATCAGCCTTAGATAGTAGACTCTAGAGCATCTGATCACATGACAAGTGATATCATTGCTTTCTAATCCTTTCATTCTTGCAAGCACTATGTTGCAATCAAAACCGCAGATGACTCCCCTTCATCTGTAGAAGAAAGAGGAAATGTGTAACTCACAAAAGATCTTATTCTTCAGTTTGTGTTTTGTGTCCTAAACTATAATTACTGTCTATTAGAAAATTTACTCGTCACATGAATTATGCAA